TTTATTGTTGGTATTGTTTAATTGACTTTGCTGAATATTTATGATAATACACAGTAAATAAATTGTTAAAACAGATTGTACCAAAAATTGTGTTGTGTTATATAAGTATTGGTAAAAACCCTCGGACTACTTTTTTGGCGTAAAACCCTCTTGTGGTTACCGTACTTTCAGAAATTTAGCGCCCCGAATTAAAAAAATAAGATGCAAAGTCATAATAGAGGCATGATAAAAAGAATAACAGGTTACTGTCTTTTGAGGAAGGGATTTCTCAGACTCGGCTAGATTTGGTCCGGAAGGGGCTCGGCAAGCCTCGCCCCTTCCAGGACCATATCTAACCTCGTTTGAGAAACCCTTTCTCAAAAGACAGTAACCTGTTATTCTCTATTAACACTAAGGTGTTACATCTAATTTTTCTACCAGGAACGAATTAAGCGGATACTATAGCTATCTCATCGTAAAGAAAACATGATGTGCAGAAGTACAATGTATACAACATTTATTAGGATGTGGTAGCGTGTTATTGTTTTTTAATCAAATGGACTACACTTAAATAGAGCGAAAGATTATGCGATCATCAAATGCAAATCAAAGGTATTAATTTCAGTTTTTCTGTTCAGGCGATATGATATTTATCATTATCATGATTTAATAAGTTGACTTTTTATGCAATATATGTTCATTGTACATCAATTTATGTCGATTATCGATTATATTAAGACCCAAAAGACGAAAAAGGTTACTTTTTTTGAATGAGGAAATAAAAACTGAGAAGAAATCTCTGTTGTTTCTTTAAAAAATATAAATGATTTAGTAACATTTTCTTTATCTGTGCACATTGTAAGAATATTGATATAATATCTTTAGATACAAAAAAAGATAAAAACATAATAATGAAGCGATTAAAACGATATTATTAAAACATTTAGAATAAAATTATTTTAAATGCGTATTTTCTTGTATCTATTATAGGCCATGTGAAGAAAATAACAAATAAGTTCGCTGAAAGTCGTATCTTCATTAGCCATGTTGAAAATTGTTACAAATTGCAGACACTTGTAAACAATTTACACGAGGTCATGAACTTCGACTAGCCGATAAATTATTAATGAATTCTCAGTTGTGGTTACATCAGCTGTTATGGATCTTACTGGATTATTAGCTAGAACGATTCAAGCGTTTGATTAAAAATAGGCGGAGTTATTCCCTTACTGTTTTTAATTTATGACAACTTTATACTATGCTAATGCAGCATGTTGCAAGAATTTTCACTTATTGTTTCATTTTATTGTAGAATATAAAAATAATACTTTAAGCAAATGTCAGTGTACAGGGAAAGTGTAAGGAAGATATGTTTTATACAATCCTTGTATAATTATATGAATGAAATACATATGCTACGAAATCATCGTATGGGAGTTGTTTTCTTATTTATCTTATTTACGTTAAAAGTTTAAGCTTTTTATAAATTAATAAATACATATTAATATATATCAGAATCTGGTTTTACATTTTATAAATCCATACAAAAATGAAGTTACTTTATTCTTTTATTTCATTTAAATGTTTGTGATCATTAAAACAAATGATGAAGTTAAACTAGGTTGTATTATACAACGATTAACCGTTGTTTCAATATTTGTTTTCAGATAAAGGATCTTTGATGTGAAGAAACTGATGTAATAGAAAAATACAACAAGATATCACACCATACCTAGATTTCACCAAGTGCTGCTTCTCTATTTTAGTTGTTTTATTTTTCAGCAATTAACAAACATATCTTGGACAATGAATTACACATGTATCGTACTAAAAATAAAATAATAAATAAGTGACGACGAAATCAGTTTTTTAATACCGCTACCTATAGAAGATAAAGGATGATTCAATTTAAATAGGTGATGGTTAAGTTTCTTTCTATAAATACAAGAATTCTAGTATGAAAATAGATATTTCACGACGAGTGAAATATCAAAACTTTCATGCAACAATGTGAAAATTAATCATGTATTTAGAGAGAAAAAAAATCATTTTATAATAATTATACAATTTCTCATGTTCGACTTTTTAAAATTTGAAAGACAATGCTTTAATTTTGTGATGTGGCTGACTTCAGAAAAATGTTGTCTGGCAAGACACTAGTGAAATACTCGAATAAGTTTCCCTGCTGTAAATAATAAATTCTGAAAGTTAAAAACAGGAAAAATAATTATCTACGCATCTTATGTATGCAATATTAAGGATATCTAAGAATATAATGAAAAGAGGATATTAAGGTGTTTTTTCCCTACTATTTACTTGATTGAGAGGTATGAAAATAAATATTTCACCAGTCGTTGAAGACACGGATAAGATATGATAAATTGATAATCATAATGAAAATAAAATTGAGCCGTGTCACGACAAAACCAACATAATGGGTTTGCGACCAGCATGGATCCAGACCAGCCTGCCCATCCGCGCAGTCTGATCAGGATCCTTGCTGTTCGCTATCAGTTTCTGTACTTGTTATAGAGTTTGTAAGCGAACAGCATGTCTCCTGATCAGACTGCGCGGATGCACAGGCTAGTCTGGATCCATGCTGGTCGCAAACCCATTATGCTGGTTTTGTCGTGACGCGGCTCAAATACCGTAATTATAATAAATAGTAAATTTTCAGTCAAATATATTCTTCCCTCTGTTTTAAAATGAGTGCAGCTATTACAGCCCTCTTTTTTATTTATTTGTAATATGCATATTGACGAAAAATAGGCTATACTGCAGTAAAAGAAAGCTTATACAGACAAAATACGAAAAATGATAAAAACGCATTACATTTCGTCAATATTTCTGAATGATTTATTCATACGTGTAAAATAAATAAAAATATGTTTTACATTACATGTTTAATATAGTATAAACAATAGCATCAAGATAAACATGCTTATAGTTTTAAGTAAACGTGAAGGGTTATTTGATTCACATATTTATGTCCTTAACAATTTGATGACATATTTAATAGATAAATGTCATCATATTTTATATAGCCCATTATTATTTTATCTATTTTATGTGACTTATTATTGTATGATTTTTTTTCTCTACTATATTTTTTCAAACAAAAGTAGGTAAGCATGTACCGAAAAGATATTTTTGCATTAGTTTTTTAACCCTCCTATTTCATATTTTAAAAAAGTATTGGTCGTCTTCAATTTTAAGGCATGAATTTTGACTGTTTAAAAGTAAGAGAAATATTTTGCTCTATGACTATTCATCAAATAACTCCGAGCAACGATTCCAACATTATCCTTAGAAAATAAACCCATATAGAAAATAGTGAAATATTATCCGCAGAACGAACAGGTGCATTGCGTTTTGTCGGAGGTTTAAAAGATAGGGGAATTGTTCTCCTATGTCAACATACACTCCCTATGTAAATTTGTTGCTGAAAAAGTGTCTGTAGGTCGACCCCCGGAAAAAGGACATCTGGAATTTCCTTTTTTATTCTGGAACGCATTACTGGGGTCCTACATATTTACCGGACAATCAGTTTACCGGACAAAATCTATTCCTGTCAAATAAGGCTTTATTTTTTGTTTCGATTCAAAAATCATCCGGTTTGAATCGTACACACATTTTCTATTTCTGAGTAAATAACAACAAAACCACTCTCAGGTAAATATGGTTGATTCAGTTCTTTATTTACTAAGATGCCATTTTGTTACCTAGTTATTTCATGACCTGTTCATTCGGGGGAATAATCTGTTCTGCGCATGTCCAAATAAAGAGGCCCTTAATGGCTTATTTTAGATAGGTTTTACTTTTAATTCTTCTCCACGTTATCTCAGGAGACAATCGTAAAATATTTTAATGATAAAAAGTAATTTTAAAATTAGTCCAAAAATTATCTCGTTGTTGTCTTTTTACAAAGAAATGCAGATTAAAAAACATATAAGGAAACGGGTTACGCCCATGGGAGGAATCTCTACATGAAATGTAAATAAAATAGATTTTATGGTTTTTGTAACATGCTACATAATGACCAAAAGGAAACTGTATGACAAAGAAAAGAATTCCACATAAATATCAAAATGTTTCATACGTTTAAGATTCATCAAGAATCGATACGTTAATTGAATTAATAGTGTTAATTTCAATTACTCCCCATATATTGGCCTCTTCGTAACAAGCATTGCTGCAGTGTCTTATTTAAGTGACATACTGTTTTATTTAAATATCTTAACCTTGCCTTTCAATAGTTGTAGTTTCCTTGCTGATTATTTAAAGATTAATTTCAATTCAGGACTTAAAAAAATTTGAAACGCAATGTCCGGTAAATTGAGCTGTCTACACGATTTTTTCTCTCTTATAATGCCCTACTTTAAAGACACATTTCTACGGTCAAATGTTTAATTTCATGTTTGTTAAAGTAATGTTTACTTGTATTAAGAACCCAAAATTATTTGGGTAAAATTCCATTCTTTTTTATTGTTTTAAATAAAAGTTACAGTCATATTTTGTCCGGTAATATGTAGGATCCCAGTATAATTTTCAGGACTGGTAATTGTTTCTGTGGATGCAGCACCTGATACTTACACTTTGCAAGACGGTATGTTTTATATTATTGTAGGCAAGTCTTTGAAAAAAAATTATGAAAAATACAGTTCACCAGTCAAGAGTGGCAGTTTAACACAATAATATGCCCTGATTTTGAATTTATTTGATAGATTTTAATTATATAACCATAAAGGAACACTTTCAATTGTAAATTAAATATAAATAAATATAAATATATGAATATATTAAATATGTTGAAAGTGAAGAAGAAAATGTATTGAACAATGAATGGTTTACTCAACACAGAACAATTGTTGATCTTCTCTAAGCAGTCTTCACTTACGTGCCAGTCATGCTAATTATGCCTGGCATAATTCCTTCCGGTTTGGCACTTTTATCAAGCCTATTTTCCAGAGACAATTGTTTCTTTTCCGGTCTTGCAGTTTTTGTGGGGTTTTTTTTCGGTCTGGCAAAAAAATATTACCAGTTCGGAAGACTGGCAATTCTTAATCTTTTCGCAAAGACTGTCCAGTATAAATCGCTTACATAAAGAAAAACATTAAAAAATAGTAAAACAACTCCTACTTTATTTACATTGTAAAGTATAACATGCTGATGAATGCTAATGTTAAAACAAAAGTTTTGTGTAATAATATATTTCTTTAATTTTTTGGTTTTCACTGTTGAACTCTTCAGTGTATATGAAGATATTTCATAGTCATTAAGTTCATTAAATTTTGTTTAGAATGAAACAAACGAAAATTTAATTACCATATTAATACTTTTTACTCTATGTATTTTTTACCGTTACAGACTCACAAAGTCTTGATGAGGATGCAGGAGACACTGAAATTATGAACATTGAGGAAAACCATAATAAAGGTAACATTATTTTAGCTTGTCATCATTACTCTATTAATATACAAAAATTTTGGCAATAAGTTACAGAAGAAAGACATAGACATAATACTTGTACACATATATATTTATCATTCATTAAGAAACCATGGCCGATATTAATATACAATCAAGTTGCTTTCCAAACAAACTATTCAATCTACCAGAATACAGTTGCGTTATTAAGGCTTTCGTCAAGCAACACATGATCACTGATTGCTCTTCTTAATTCAATAATCACTGCATCTGCAGAAGCTGGATATTGCTCTAAAGTTGTTTACATTATGATAAAACAGATATATGGATACTTTTTCCTGTCAAATATTTTCATAAATTGTATTTATGGATATAAAATTTTGATAATCTAGATCTGATTGAAATCAAATGTTAATATTTTAATAAATTCCAGATGTATCAGCTCCTTCAGAGAATCTGTCAAATGACTAAGGGAATATAACAGTTGTGAGGAAGAATGAAAGTAAGTATATTTAGAAATACATATGATTTCAATTCTTTGAGATACTTATAGAATACATGATTTGATCTGAAACAAATGCATCAAGATTGAAAGCAATATGTAGAAAAACTGAGTCTATAATGCTTTCATAAGATTGAATCTGAACCATTCATGCTGTATTAATATTTTTCCAAAAGAAAATAGTGGTAGTCCAATAGAATTATATTTTGGGACTGCTATTTATTACCGACATGATTATGTATAAATCATTGTATTAAAAGTGACATTATGCCCATCAAAGGTATAAAGTGAGTGAACAGGTGAATATCATAATTAGATTTCAATTTGCCATAATTACTTTTCACTGAATAATTTGCTTCCCATAAACAATAAATAATGCTCAGATCCAAATAATTTTTTTGAAAATATCTATTAGAATTAACCTATAACGCTCAATTTAAAAAAAGAGTGGGAAAGTCTTTTTATATTTCAGGCAGATTTATAATTATTTTATCCTTAATGTTTTCCAATATCTTCTGTTTGTCACACACCATTTTAACGGTCAATCTTTTGAAATATAAAGTCAATTCAGCTCAACTTAACTATGCAAATATGAGCAAAATGTCACTTTAAAGTAATATCAAAGATGCAAATCATTTATAAGCAATGAGGTAATAACCTGTAATGCTTATGATTTTTTTATTTGCAGCTATCACCTAGAAACATGAGGTCGTTTTACTTCTGATTTCTTTGTATGGGGAAAACAAAGAGAAGTTCACATGTTCCAGTTACAAGCAGAAAGATGTATTTGGAAAATAATTTCTACAAAAATGTTAGAAAAAGGCTTGAGCTATGATGCCAACCAGTGCAACGAAAAGTTCTGTTCAATGAAACATAGGTATAAATTTTACACTCTTGGTTGTCCAACATCATCTATGGCCCATGTATTAAAG